AAGAAGACAAAGAAGAAAAAGAAGAAAAAATAGGGGTAGCAGAAGTAATAGAAATGGAAATAGAAACATAAATAAAATTAAAAATTTAGAGATAGTAGGGGTAGTAGAGGTGGAAGAAGAAGTGGACATAGAAGTTAGAGTAATAATAGTAACAACAGCAGTAGCAGAAATAGACTAAGAAAAAGAACAGTAATAGTAAAAGTAGTAGTAGTAGCAGTTGTAGTAGCAATAGTAGTAGCAGTAATTGTTGTTGTAGTAGTGGTAGTAGTAGTAGTAGTAGTAGTAGTAGTAGTAGTAGTAGTAGTAGTAGTAGTAGTAGTAGTAGTAGTAGTAGTTGTAATAATGATAATAATAATAGTAGTAGTAGAAGTAGTTATAGTAGTAGTAGTAGTAGTAGTAGTAGTTGTAGTAGTTGTAGTTGTACTAGTAGTTGTAGTAGTTGTAGTTGTACTAGTAGTGGTAGTGGTAGTGGTAGTAATAGTAATAGTAATAGTAATAGTAATAGGAACCGTAACAGTAACAGTAACAGTAACAGTAATAGTAACAATAACAATAACAATCAGAACAAACACAAGAAGAACAATAATAATAATTAAAAATAATAATAATACTGTAATAATTACTACTAATAATAATAATGTATTAATAATAATAATAACGTAATAATAATAATGTAATAATAATAATAATAACGTAATAATAATAATAATAACGTAATAATAATAATAATAACAATAATAATAATAATAATAATAATAATGTAATAATAATAATAATAATGTAATAATAATAATAATAATAATAACGTAATAAAAATAATAATAACGTAATAACAATAATAATAATGTAATAATAATAATAATAACGTAATAATAATAATAATAATGTAATAATAATAATAACGTAATAATAATAATGATAACGTAATAACAATAATGATAACGTAATAACAATAATGATAACGTAATAATAATAATGATAACGTAATAATAAGAATAATAACGTAATAATAAGAATAATAAGAATAATAACGTAATAATATAATAATATGAATAATAACGTAATAATAATAATAACGTAATAATAATAATAATAACGCAATAATGAGAATAATAACGTAATAATAATAATAATAACGTAATAATACTAATAATAATAATAATAATAATAATAATAAATAAAATAATAATAATAATAATAATAATAATAATAATAAAAAATAATAATAATATAATAATAATAATAATAATAATAATAATAATAATAATAATGTAATTAATAGTAATAATAATAATAACGTAATAAATGTTATTATTATCATTAGTTACTACTACTACTACTACTACTACTACTACTACTACTACTACTACTACTACTACTACTACTACTATACTAATAATAATAATAATAATAATAATAATAAATAATAATAATAATAATAATAATAATAATAATAATAATAAGTAGTAGTAGTAGTAGTAGTAGTAGTAGTAATAGTAAGTAGTAGTAGTAGTAATAATATCAATAATAATAGTAAGTATATTAATAGTTTATAAATAATAAATAATAATAATAATAATAATAATAATAATAAAATAATAATAATAATAATAATAAAATAATAATAATAATAATAATAATAATAATAATAATAATAATAATAATAATTAATAATAATAATATTATTTATATATATATTATTATTATTATATATTATATTATTATTTATATATTATATATTATATCATTATATTATTAATCATTATCATTATTATTATTATATAATTATAATAAATAATATAATTTAATAATAATATAATTATAATAATAATAATAACAATAATAATAATAAATAATGTAATAACAATAATAATGTAATAATAATAATGTAATAATAATAATATGATAATAATAATAATATAATAATAACAGCAATAGGAATGACAGCAACAGAAACATCAAAGTAGCACAGGCATTAGTGCCATCTATTATTACATCCTGCATTCTTCTTTGCTAACCCTTCACCTCTGAATGATGTGGGGTTCACCCCATGGTCAACTTGGTTGCGACTCCAGGCAACAATTCATTCACATCCAGTTACTCATGCCAGTACTGTGGGGCATTGCCTGAGGGAGAATGTGGTGGGTAATGCTCCAATTGGCTATTGTTTTATATAAAATGCAATAGTTAGCACATAAATCAGTTGCCTGCTATACTTGGAAGATGTCACATACCCAAACATTACAAAGTGCTAAACATCCCTTGAATTTACATAGTGACTGGTGGAAGTTATAATCCAAAAAGTGGTGGAAGCAATGATGTGGTTGTAACTGTGGCAGTTGCTGTCATTGTGATTAGGCTTTATATTACCATGGCAATGTTGCTGATAGCAATGATGCATGAATGATCAAAAAGGAAATAGCAAGCTTTGTATATTTAAGATTTTTTCCTACTTTTCCTATTTATCCTTTTTTGGGGGTGTAAATCTATTACAAATATATCAATACTCTCTAAAGCTTTAATATTGTTAATACTTATACATCATCTTTTATAACCACTGTCATTACATAATCCCTAATTGAGATAATAACTCACAAATACTGATCATGATGCCAAATATTCCAAAGAATCAAAGAGCTAGTGTTGCTTGAAAATGGTTACTCTTCAATTGTTGCACATTTTTTCAATGAATTACAAAACTTAGGACTCTGCCAGTTTTCATCAACCCAATCTTTATAACAATAGGTCATTATTTTCCTATTCTTATTCATTTATCTATTTACTATTGTCAATATTTGCAAGTAATCCAAATCACTTGAAAAAAATATATATCACAGATAAGAGGGAAGAGAAAAAACAAAAATCTAAAATAATTTTCTAGTGCAGAGAAGTTAAACTAATAAAATAATTTCAAAAATACAATTTTCCTCTGATATGAATCAATGAATAAATATGTAAATAGGCCAAACAAAAGATATACAATTATTATAATCAAACTGACCATAATCATTTCTTTCATGCACACAAACATCTGCATGAAAGCAAAAACTAATAACACTATACTCTGGCAAGACTATAGCATAAACAAAATTCCTGGATATCCCCTTGAGTATCTAGCTGATGGGAACTTGGTTGTGCTTAACCTCTTGAATCCGATGACATCTATTTGTCATCAATGCAATAACCAGAGTTTCAAACTTCCTAATTGTCTCAGTCAGGTAAAGGCTGGATTTGTGCCAGGAGTACCAGCTTAGAGGGCTTGTTGGCCCAAAGACTTTCTATCTTTACAAATTCACTTTTCTCTGTTAGAGCTAGTCATCATCTGGATCCATTATGAAATATGTCCTTTTATGGGAGAGCACATAGTGCAGTGGCTAAGCCTACCACTCAGTGTATGTCAAGGATATATGTGATTGCCCTAAAATGGGTAGCTTTAACCTCAAATATTATCCTCTCAGACTGATCATCTGCATTTTCTCAGTGTTCCTACCTTTTTGTCACTAACCTAAAGCATTTTAGTAGTGTAAATATTGCTGCAATGCAGTATGTGGTAATTCATGGTCATTATTGGGAAACCTTCATCTATGACTCTGAACTATAACAAATATCACTGGAACTATTATTCTTCAATCCCTTTATGATCTAGTTCTTGGGAGTTTAGAACATGTACATCTTCTATACAACTGTTAAATATTTTTTGTGTCAGCATCTACAACTGTCACAACATAAAGGATTCAATAGAAAGAAATATAGTATATATAAGCAACCTGAATTCAAAGCTTAAATATAAGGCATAAAAAAATAGTGATAAGAAAAATCAATTACAGACATTCCCATTAGGAAATATTAACAAATTTCAAGATGAAAATAGAATTTATATTCTATTCTAGAATGAATGCTTCCTGGCACAACTTGTTTACATAATAATAATTCAGTTTTCAGGGATTGGCTCACTCTTATTACTTTCTCATTACCACCATCAGAGCATCCACAAATGGCTGTTAGCTACAAAACTATAATTCAGTGGCTGGTCAACCTCCTCTTGCTTTCTCCATCACCCTCCAGCTAACTTTAGTTGGCAGTCCTCAAGATCCAAATTCTTGTGTGTCTGATTCTATGCGCTTGTACTCGAAGGAGCCACGCCCGTCCATGTGCAAGTAGTACTGAAGGGAGACAAGAAAATGGGTTAGGAAGAAGAGCAATAACAAAGGCATCAGTGTATTTGATAATATTGCTCTTACTATATGTTGTGAAATAAAAAAAAACATAAATAGACAAATTAACAAGCAAATAGATTGACAAATATTATAAACATCAGAAAAATTAATAACTAAACAAATATACAACTTCTTAAAAATGTAAAGACAAACATGAATGAAAAGCAATGAAAGGAGTGTTTCTTTACCTTTATTAACTGTTCTTTATTCATCACCTGTTTATTTTTAAAAACAAATCAATAACATCTTACTTAAGACATGCATTGTTTACACTGGTTTTGTTTTAATCATTTTTTTAACATACAGATGGCCTCACAAGTATGCAAGTTATCAAGGAATCAACTATAGTCTGTTCAACAAAATTTGATGGATGGATGTACAGAAAGTTTAGTAATAATTGCTAGGTGTAAGCTGGTGAGGCTCGCACATGTAGTGGATGTAACTTCTGTTACAAGAGAGGAATGACAGACTGTCTTGAGTACATCAGCTGTCTAATTGCTCAGCACCAGTAAGGCAGTGACCACTTTAGAGAATAATGAACCCTACAATCTATGATGTGACCATCACATTATGAAAAAATTTGGTTTGAGAGGAAAGCAACATGAACATGCCATCGCGGGAAAATCTGGCATTGGGTCAGGGGAACAGGAACTTGCTGTCATAGCTGAAGGATGAGGTGACAGGAATGACGCCAAAATGCACAAAGCTCTTAGATGGTGATTACACTTCATTAGGGGCTTTTGCATTATTTTTATTAATAAATGAGTGTGGAATGTACCATCC